TGTTCTTACAAAATATCTTCATGTGGAAAAATTTGGAAATTGTAATTAAGTGCCAATACCAACTCTGAGCTTGATAAGTGCAACCACATTTGTTCTTAAATGTATTGCCTTTGAAACAGAACTTCCAGAAAAAATAAATCAAACCCTTAGAGCATTGCAGTTTGTTATATAAATATTTTGCTATAAGAAATTATATTATTTCTAATAGAAAATATAATATATATTGTATGGGATGTATTTGGTTACTCTTCCTGGTATTTATATGTTGGAATATCACTGATAGATAATGGTATTGTCATTTTTATAAGCAAAGCAGAGATAGCTTTAAAAGAGAGAGAGATGCATATGAGATTACTGTAAGCAGGCAGTGATTTGAGTTCATTTTTTTTTTTAATGGAAGAAAGTAGGCTGTTCTCTGGTAATATTATCAGGACTTTGTAACAAAAGACAATATAAAGATATCTGTGCTTTGATGACCAACATGGAGAGAGAGAGAGAGACTGTCTTACCTAAAATATGCAATAAGAAAAGGAAAAAATACTATGCTGGTTGAACTCCAAAACACGAGCACGAATAAAATTCCAAAGGCAGGGTGCAAGAAATTAATGTAATTTTACAGTAGCCCATCTACAGAACAATGCACGGGGCATGTGTTACATTCCCACTACTCAAATGAAGGAGATCTTTAAATATATGCCTAAGTTTCTTTTATGGCTGCCACAGCAAAATTACTTGGGTAACTGTTTGGCTGACACATAATGGGAATTTTGTTCTGTTTTTGCTAGTAAATATTAATTTTCTATAAATTGAGGAAGGTGAAATGGTACCTTTAAATCATAGCTTCCAGTATACTTATTTAAATTTAAGTAATTTTGTGCATAAGTGTGCACTATATATAACTTGCTTATATATAATATGAATGTGCTGCAACATAAAATGTAGTGAGGAGGAATTTTGCATTATTGAAGGTGACTTCTGTTAAATGGTTTGGGTGTTTTGATATAGCTCAAGTTGACTTTTTCTTGTAAACATGTATGCACTGTAGTCTTCTCATCAAACTTGTTCCCTATAGGTCTAGATTTATGCTTATTCTGCCTTCAGATAACTTTCAAGATCATTTAATTGAACACCATATTTTGAAGAAAATTATTTTCTTTTCCTTCAGCCATTTGTTTATTGCTTATTAAGAGGCAATCTATTTAAAAACTTTGAGCACACTCCATCTTCATCAGTAAGGCTTTCTCTTATAAATCTCTGCCAGCATCATTAAACTCCATTAAAATCAATCTAGTTAGAATAAGTTTTCAAAACTGTGGGAAGTGTTCCTGCCAAATACAAGTGGCATAGAGTGTGATCTGTTGGATGGGAAGAGTTTCTAGAATACAGAAATAGTGCATCTGAAAACTGTAGTTAGAGTTATGGTTTGGGTTGTTTGCATGGATTTCTCTGAAATTGTTAAATAATAACAACCATCTTGGTTAACTGCAAGCCTATAAAGATCAGCCTTTAGAATACCATTACTGCATGTATCTCTCAGTTCTTTGGGGGGACTGCTGCTTGTGTAGTCTTCCAGCCAAATGGTACTCTGTGCGGTGTGATGGTAAGGTGGTGAAAGTCATTTCCTGAGGGGACTAAAAATATTTGAGTTCATCTTGTGCCACACCACCTTCCTGGTGGTCAATTAAAACCTTTTTAGACTCAAGGCACCTCTCAGAAAATGCAAGTTGAGTGAGCAAAATGTGGCCCATGGGCCACGTCCTCAGGCCGACTGATTGATTTGTATCCAGCCTGTGGTGCTCTGCATGGGGCCAAGCACCTCCCACTCCCACCCACACCTGCCCCCTGCGTCCTCTGACAGCACTGCCCCTGCCTTGGCTCCGGCCCAAGCCAGTACACAGTTTTCCTGGTGAAGCTGCTTCTGCTGCTCCTGCAGCTGCCTGGGTACTACTTGGCACCCCCTGCCTCCAGTGGCTCCTCCTCCTCTCCAGTCTCCTCTGTGCCACTGTAGGCAGGGGAGAAGCTGCAGCCAGGTGGCTCCTGCCCCAGTTCACAAGGGCCTGGATCTAGCTTCTGATCACCTTCTACCCACTCTGCCTGCCCAACGCAATGAGCAGCCACCTGCGAGCGTCTGAGTGAGTGGAAGGTGACTAGGAGCTAGAGCCCATGCACTGGTGCAGGAGCCACCCACCAGCAGCTTCCACCCCTGCCTGGAGCGGTGCAGCAGGGCTAGGAGGAGGAGCCACTGGAAGCAGGTGTGCCGACCAGATTAGTACCTAGGCAGCTGCAGGAGCAGCCCTGCCAGAAAGCTGTGTGCTGGCTGGTTTGGGGCAGTGCCGTCCATAGGCTTGAGGCAGGTGTGGGTGGGAGTATGGCACAGGTTTCCCCAGGTGGGAGTGGGTAGAGCCTGGTCCCATGGTGGTGGGTGCATCTGTGGGCCATATGAGGGGTGCAGATCCCACCTGCATCACACCACTGGGGCAAGCTCTGGTGCATGCTCCCTTTCCATCCCATCTCCTCCGTCCCAACATCCCTGGCTGGTTCCTGGGACCTAGCATGCAGGCAGCCCCTTCCCATACGTGCACAACCACCCCACACCCCCCTGTGCAACCCACCATTTGACCCCCCCACGCAATATACAAGAATAACACTTTATTTTGAAGTATTATAAAATCAGTTCTATATACACTATTCCAGAGAACAAAAATCAGGACAAAATATCTTTTGAAATAACATCTATAATAACATTTAAATGTTTTGTTTTGTTTTTTTTTTAGTATATGATTTTGTTATCTATAATTTGTTATAATGATATCTTCTGAAATATTTTTTGTGCAGCCCTCGACAGCTCACCAGAACTTGTTAAGTGGCCCGTCAGCTGAAATAATTGCCCACCCCAAGTTAAAACCATTGGGGAGCAACCACCATAGAGCATACACTCTGCACATCTAGGTTTTCAAGAAGCTTTTATCTTGTTAATAATCAATCAGTAATAAATTCTCTAACCTTTGCAAAGGTTTAAGCTTTTTTTGCATGTTTTTCAGCTATGTGAAATAATAACATTGGCAGTAGTGAGCTCTTTCACAGCCTGTGACCATTATCATGGTGGTTTTAAATAAATAGGACTGTACAACTTCTAAGTGGCTGGGGGCTGCACACCCCTATGGCCACACTAGCATGGGCTGCACCACCGGCGACCTTGGATCATACCCTCCCTTTTCCCCTCTGCTGAACGACATACCTGTGTGCCCCTGCCCCCACACTGGTGCACTGCATGACTACTTCTGCTCCTCTCCATGCAGGGTGCTCCTCCACATACTGTTGCTCTCTGTGCTTCTTTGCTGCTGCTCTCCATGCTGTGCTTCTTCTACACCAAATGACCCCTGTGCTGCACCATGCATACCCTCTGCTGCTGCTCCCCGTGTCCCTCCACTGCACCCTGCGCCCCTTTGCTGCTCTTCCTCATGCTTCCCTGCTGCTTCCACTTGCCCTTCCCTCGCATCATTTTCAGGCACCATGAATTACCCTTAGCTTTCCAGTCATAAGCTCCCCCACTGTACTGTGACATTTAGGCACCCTGGGATGTGGGCTCTCCTGGCACTAAAGGCAGGACCACACGACGCCCCTGGGACAAGGGCAGGGCAGATGCTGGAAGGGGAATTCAGAGGGAGGGAGATTCTGGAGCCCCTAGCTACCATTGCAGCTGGATAGGAACTCAGTGGTGTAACTAAGACGGGGCAAATGGAGTATGCAGAAAATCCTGTTGGCAGCTGCAGAATTGCAGTTGTGGTGGTAGCCTACGCTGCTGACTAGGGGCTACAATTTTAGCCCCTCACAGGCCACCAGTTGTTCAGACCTGAAATAAATCGGTATGCAGTGTGCTTGGTAGGATTAGATTTTTATCGGTAAATGTTGATTTAACCTCACGATTGCAGACCGATGAAAAAATATGTCCATCGTTAATAATTAAATTTTGTAGAAAGAGAACATGAGAAAAATGACGGTTGATGAAGTGTGTAATGACTTGGGAAGCAGTCCTACAGAACCATGCTAAATGTAGTTTGGACTGCAACTCCCAGAAATCCCAGGGGCCCGGGAATAAAGGGGGAGGAAGTGACAAAGCAGACAAAGGAACTACAGGTGAGCAGAGCAGGGATTGATGGCTGCTCAGCTGCTCAAGCCGGTTGCAGTCATAGAGTAGTTAAGTTTATCATTAATAAATTGGCTGCTCCCCACACCTCTAATTCTGCGCAGTCTTGAATATTTAAATTGATTACAAATCAAAATACATGCTTAAAAATAAACATTGATATTATCTGTCAAAATTATTAAAAAATAAAAATCAAATTCTGCCAAGCCTAAGTGTACTTTAGAACAAAATATATTTAGCTGTAGGCTTGGGTTTCTTTTGAGAAATGGTACAAATAAAAACCCTACCTAAAACCAAACCTGGACCAAACTGTCTTATGTGACTGTTTGGTTCCCAGCAACTCTTGGTAGTTTTGAGTGGTAACAAGCTTTTTAACCTTCAAAAGCTAGAATAGCTACATTAGGCTAAGGTAGTAGTAATTACAATGGCCTTTTTTTTAAGAAGACTTATAAGAGTACCTTTTTCCTGGTATTTCTTCCTGTGCAGAAAATTGCTTTCTATGTACAGCTCTTCCCATTACATATGCTGCTAACTCTTCATGTTCCCTTCTTCCATTTACATCATGATTACTTTTGAGAGCGGATTGTTTCCATGTTCATCCTTAGTACAGTGGGGCACTTCTTAAAGCATCCTCTTGAGTATAACTGTAAAGGCATTTTTAAAGTTCTGCCTTATGAACTACTTTTTGTGTCTTCGTTCAATAAGGTGAAGTAATTAAGGAGACTGATTTTAATCTAAACACCAATGTGGCTACTGATTACCATGCTGTGCTTCTAGCAGTCTCATGAGTCTTATAAATGCTTGCCAAGGTATGTTAAGAATAGTCTGATGCTCTTTTGTTTTGCTCAAGTAGGCTGAGCAGAATCCGGGGAAACCAAGCATGATGTCAGGTTCTGAAAAAGAGCAAGATGGAAACAGAAGGGTATTTGACTTTTTCTTCCCTTTTTTAGGATTTAGCCATTGGATGTTCCTAGTGTGCTTGGCTAGACTGCTTGATATATGTATTTGCACAGTCAGTAGT